TTTGTGCCTTTTCTGGTTAGATTATCGCTCAGGAAAAATCAGAACTATAGGGAATCGTATGTTTGGAGTTAGGTTTAGATGCTTAATTACGACTAAACCTAAGTGAAGGTTTGGTCATTGTTCATGTTCAATGACTGCATTTGTGTTTTTACTACCTTTGTTATTTTTCTTGCTGTATGGTTTATGTTATGCGGTTAACTGCAGAGATGCCTAACTATGCTCGAACCTCTTAAGGGGGCTGTTGGTACGCCATATTCTTGCATTTCTGATAAATTTGAATTTTTTTAAATTTTTAATTTTTGAACTGAACGTAAAAATCATATTTCTGAATAGATATTTTTGTAAAAATCGAGATTTTTGGATAATTTTTTTTTTCTTCAGCCAAATGTCCAATTGAAGGTCCATCAGCTGTGGACTTTCTGTTCTCAGGCTGCAATTCTAAAATTCTGGTGATTTTCTTCTTTTGAAAAATCAAGCAATGTGGTTTCGTCCACTAGATAAACGCTCTTAGGTAGTGTTTGATTGGAGAGAAGTTAAAATTTTGCTGGCTAAGTGCACGTAGGAATCTGAGTAAAACCATATTTGGTTGAAGATTTTTGGAAAATATGCCCATCAAATCCACGCAATGCAAGAGCAGTGTAAAAATTGGATTTGCCACTGTTGAAGAAGCCGACAGATGATATTGGTTTGGGATATTGGATAAGTGAAAAAGGTGAAGAATGGCATATGACAAATATACCCGTGTTTAGGGTGGTTTGTTATAGACGATAAAAAAACTTTGCTGAACAACCTGTGTTTCTGTTTATTGCTTCTCTTTATGTGGAGAAGATAAAGAAACAAATTTAAAGCTAATCATAACTGCAATCATAATTAGTTAAAAAACAAAAAAAAATACAGCAAATTTTGCTGTCATACATGTGTGAAGCATTAAAAAGGTTAATTTCGTCTTTTGCTTTCTTTTTTTCATCATAATTTTATTTTCAACCAAACACATATCAGGATTTTTAACTCAATTTTTCTAGTAATATTTTGCGCTATCAAACAATTTTTTTTAAACTTTTCTATCAAATTAACTTTCCAATGTCTTTCTTACCCACTTTAAAAAAATTTCTTCTCAACCAAACACTACCTTAAGTCTTAAGAATGGTGTCTGGTAAAATAATCGTTTTAATTAAGTAAATTAAGTCTTTCCTTTTTTTATTTCTACTCTTTTGTATTATTTTTAATTTTATTTATTAATTTATATTTTCTTTTTTCTTTTTCAATTTTTTTAACTTGGGTTCATCCACCACCCTAATTGTATTGATGAAGATAATAAAATTAATTTTTTTTTATAGAGGGAAGGGACTGAAGCCCTACAAATAAAATTTATTACTTCTTGAGATTGAAATAGGGTTTTATTTTTTTAAGTGTTTGGATTCACTTATTTTTAAGTTAGAAGTTACTTATAAACTAAAGTTAAAAAAAGAATTTACAAAAATAAGCTAAAATCTGTTTGAAAATTACATAAAAAATTTAATTTAAAAATTACTTAAAAGCACATATTTCAAGAAAATTATCTTTTTCTATATCTTTATTACCTTTTATTTAAAAAAAGCACATAATTTAATAAAAACAGATAAGAGCTTAAAAAAAAGTTCCTCCTAGAAGCTTTTATTTTTTAGCTTTTTTCTTCATTATAAAAAAAGAGCATTTTAATTAAAAGAGCTTTTCTCAAAATCTGTTTGGCCTTGGCTTTATGTTTATAAGTAGCTTCTAGCTTAAAAATAAGAGGATCCAAACAAACACTTAATGTATAAGATAATTTATTTCTTAATTATTTTGAGGGGATAAGATATTGTGACACCCAAGTTATGTTACACCCATGTGACACCCAGTCAATTTCACCGTTAGATCGCTTATGTTGATCCAACGGTTATATTTATTTTCATCTTTGTATGGTCATGATTTCCCAAATTTAAAGTAAAAGCATTAAATATGAGAAATCATAACCATACAAAGGTAGAAATAAATATAAAATATTAAATTTGGGAAATCATGACCATACAAAGATGAAAATAAATATAACCGTTGGATCAACATAAGCGATCTAACGGTGAGATTGACTGGGTGTCACGTGGGTGTAACATAACTTGGGTGTCACAATATCCTATCCCTATTTTGAGATAGGAAAAATATATTTTTATAATTTTAATTTATTCTTAGGCTATATTAATTTTTATAAGGGATAAGATATTGTGACACCCAAGTTATGTTACACCCATGTAACACCCAGTCAATCTCACCGTTAGATCACTTATGTTGATCCAACGGTTATATTTATTTACATCTTTGTATGATCATGATTTCCCAAATTTAAAGTGAAAGCATTAAATATGGGAAATCATAATCATACAAAGGTAGAAATAAATATAAAATATTAAATTTGGGAAATATGTGTCACATGAGTGTAATATAACTTGGGTGTCACAATATCCTATCCCTTTTTATAATTATAATTTTTTTTTCCAATCCAAATGATATTAATAAAGTTTTTCTTTTTAAAATTTAAAAATTTAATAGTCTTAATATAATTATTTTTTATTTTTTCCGTTAATTTTTTAAAAATTTGACTATTAATATTCGTAAATCAATTCTTTTAAATATTTTTATTATAATTATCCTTTAAAACTTCAGTCAAAACATTTTTAATTAAATTTTTTATCTTAATTCAAACACTCACGTCTCAAAATAAGATTAAGTAAATGTATTCGAATACAATAGAATAAAAATTGTACTTCTAATTGAAATAATTTTTTTATTATGTACCAAAGAAAATTAATTTTATTTTTTAAATGCATGACTTCTATAAATTTAACTGTTTATACTTTGTATAAAAAAAAACTGTATTTGTTTTTCGTTCTTTTAATTTTTAGTTACTGCACTTGAATAGATTAAATTAGATTATAAAAGAAATACAACCATCATCATCTTCAAGTGTAAATTATCATCTTTTAAATACAAAAAAAATACAAATATTAAATCATCATCTTTTAAATACAAAAGAAATACAAATATTAAATCATCATCATTTGTATGGCCTACGATAAAAGAACGAAAAATGTTTAAATACAATCATCATTTGCGGCATTTAATTCGATGGGAGGTCTCAACAGATTTGAGTTCCCTCCCCTCTCCGGAAATATCTTGAGTACTACATCATTTACTCAATTTAAAAAATATAATATATTTTCTTTATTATTTTACCCTTCTTTGTATGGTTATTTTCTTTAAAACCATCATCATTTTCTACTTTTAGTAAAGGAGTACATACTACAGTAACACCAAAGATATACTCCCCCTCTCCACAAGGTTTATTTAAGTGTTATCGGAGCATATTTCATTGAGTAGGACAAGGCGAGAGAGCGAAAGGAGAGAGGAGAGAGAGAAAAAAAAATTCAAGTGTCACTCCCTTGTACCACAAGTTTAAATCATCTATTTTTTTTTCTCTCCACACAAAACACATTTTTATTTTATTTTATTTTATTTTTCTCTCAAATAATTTCGCCCACTATAGTAGAGGTGTTTGAATTTAAAGTTTCCTCCTAAAAAATCCCTCTTATGTGAGGAACTCTTTATTTTTATTTTTTATAAAATGGGAGTGGCAATTGCAACTTGAATTACAGACAGATAGTGGACAAGTTGTGATTGTCATCTATGTTACCTTGATATCGATATGAGATATGAGATATGACATGATACGACATGCTGATATGTTAATTTTAAAAAATATTAAATTTTGATATGTTAGTACACGTTTTGATATTAAATAATATTTTTAATATATAATATAATTTACATTCAATATATTTAACAGTTCATAATAAATCATATAAGTAATCAAATATTCAAATTTTATAATATAAATATAAAACAAAAATAATTTTTTATAACTTGTTAATTTTTCTATCAAATTACGTAACATAAAATATTTGTTTTATAAACTAATTTTTTATATTTAATTAAAAAATAAAATAAAATTTGGATAAAAAAAATGTCAAAAAACTTTGATCAAGTATCGATATCCGAAGTGCATTTTGTCTTTTTAAATGAAGAATGTCCGTGCTTCCTTGATTGTCACTGCATGGACATTAAGTAAATTGACAAGAAAAAGAACCAAATGATTTGGTTTAATCTAAATGTTTAGTTCAATACTTCAATTCGTCTTTTCGCTTTTTTCACCCCTCTAATGCGAAAATGTTATTTGTTGGAGAGATGATATACCCTCCTTAACTGAGGCATTGAATGAGGCAAATTTTTTTTTTTTTTTTAAAAAAAAGTAGTTCCGCTAAGAGAGGGGGCAAAATTGGTTTAAAAAAAAAACCAATTAGACTAAAGGAGGGGGCAGAATTAGTTAAAAAAAGGAAAAAGAAATACAGGTTCTGTTGGGGTGGGGGGTGATAGTCTCTTGGCGGTAAAATTATCATACCGAATACCAAACAGGTGAAAAACATGTGGGAAAATCCCAAATGCCAAAGAGCCGATTCATCAATCATGCTTGAGTGGTACCACATAAACTTTCATTTGCTGTCCCATGATTAAATTAATGAATTTTTTTTTTCAATAATGACACAAGTCTATGTAATGTCACATAATATATTAGGTGGACCTGTGTCTCTTATGACGCGATAAGAAGATAAAACAAAGTTTGCCACGTAACTAAAACTACCTCAAAGAAATAATTAATTTTTAAGATATACTAATTTTAGTAAATTGTTTTCTTTTAAAAAACGCACCCTCAGATCAAAAAGCTAGAACCATCGCAAGCTAGAACAATTTATTTATTTTTAGATGATTGTATGGCTTCCAATAATTATTGAACTTGACAAATCACAAGCGACCACGTGATGTAAATATGTGATCCATATTGTATCACCAATCATACAGTCTAATGGCTGCGCAGGTACAAGTAATAAAGGACCTTGTCTTAAGCAAATTTCAAAATATGATGTCATATTTAAATCTTCATACAAAGTGAACAAACCCAAGCTTGGTTCTTCCATCTCCATTCTACTTTTCTTTTTTGTTTCTACAAACTTTGTAGCATCATGACCCAGTGCTTCATCAGCTTTACCGAAACCAGAAACTGGTGCTACAGGTCCAGTTTCAACGGGTCGGGGCTCCGATCCACCATCACAGACCTCAAGGACGGAACCGTCATGCATTGCTGGGTGCCCAAGACCCGAACCGAGTCCAAACCCAACCTGCTCCTCATCCACGGTCTTGGAGCCAACGCATTGTGGCAATGGGGTGACATCATCTGCCACCTCACGCCCTTCTTCAACGTGTACGTGCCGGATCTTCTTTTCTTCGGCGGGTCGTACACGACCCGACCCGATCGGAGCGAGCGGTTCCAGGCGGAGTGCGTGATGAGAGTGATGGAGGCAAACTCGGTGAGGAGGGTGACGTTGGTGGGGCTGAGCTACGGTGGTTTCGTGGGGTACAGCATGGCGGCGCAGTACAGTGAGGTGGTGGAGAGGGTGGTGGTGTGTGGCTCAGGGGTGTGCATGGAAGAGAAGGACATCAAGGAAGGGCTTTTCCCTGTCACTGATTTGGAAGAAGCTGCCAATATTTTGGTGCCACAGACACCCCAGAGGCTTAGGGAGCTTGTGGGGTACACCTTTTTCAAACCTCCTCCATTAGGATGGTTGCCTTCTTGCTTCCTCACTGATTTCATTGATGTAAGAATTTCCCCCCCACAATTTATTTTTGGTTTATCAATTATCCTTGAACCCTTTAATGTGATACTGCATATGATTTGTGTGATTGTTCATTGCTTAAACTGGACATGGACAACCTTGTGGTTCTTTAGTTTTTAACTGTAACAAGTTAACTAGATTCATCTCTCATTGTTGGATTAGTCTAGCATAGTGACCACAAGCATGTTTGTAGGTGAAAAAGAAGAGTCTGTTGTGTATATAAGGATGTGTAATTGTTGGATTAGATGATGTTTCAGATGCTACTTTAACTAAGAAGACCTATAATATTATGGTGGATACGTGTGAATGTAACGGAGCCAGGGTGGGCTAAAATTGTCAAATTTGGGTAGGCCATGTGCAGGGACTATGTACAAGAAAGGAAAGAATTGATCCGAGCTATTGCAAAAGACCGAAAACTTTCTGATCTCCCCAAGATATCTCAGGTTCATTTATACTTTCCTATTACCAATTACAAGTTTGTAAGGGTTACATTAGAACTTAGAAGGCTTCATTTCATCATATTCCATGCAGCCTACGTTAATTATCTGGGGAGAGCATGATCAAGTATTCTCTTTAGAACTGGGTCACAGATTGAAAAGGTTAAATTAATGCTCTTACTGTACTTGTTACCATCACTTTTGAATTTAGAACTCATTGGATTTGGAACACAGGCTTTTGGGGGACACTGCTCAAATAGTGGTCATTAAGAATGCAGGGCATGCTTTTAGTGTGGAGAAGGCGAAGGAGTTCTACAGGATCTTGAAGTCCTTTCTCGTGGATTTGCAGCCACCTGCAGAGAGCTCACGACCCAAGCGGCAAAACAGCATTTCAGTGTGAGTTCAAATACTCCCACACGCACACAAAAAGGAAACCCACAGATGATGACAGAAGAAAGAGGTATCCGTAAAATGAATGATTTTGTTGAAACACATTCTTTTTCCATCTGTCTCCAAAGCAGAGGCTCATTAAAACAGTTCAATACAAAGGAGTTTAGTGGCATGTCGGATTAACAGGACTTTGGTCTCTATGTACTGAAATAAAGAATCTTGAATTTGTTGAGCTTAATAGAGCTAAAAAAATGTTTAGACTGGGATGAAATAAAAAAATTAACAATACACCATGGCATAATGTTTTCAATTGTTACTAATTTTTATTCGAGTTTTTATCATTTCTAACAACATAAATTGCATCATGTGGATATCAACCGTTAAATCAGATTGTTAATTTGTCTGAACTTCTAGGCCCTTCTAGATAAACGAGCCAGGACTTTCATACACTTGTCTCGTTGGTCTAACTGTAGTGCATGTTTTTCTCTGTATAGATAGACTGTCTGAGTATGAGACTGAAATTTCCCACATCTAAGGCCCCCACTAGCATCATAAATAAGATTAATTTACTCTGACAGAGACTGTAATTGAACTTATCTTAAATTAGCAATTTAGGCCTGTCAAAATGGCGCATAAGCAAAGTGAATATATAAGAGCAAGCTATTAAGTAACAGAAAGCAACAACCTAACAAATAGTGTGCTGCAACCCTTGACGATGTCTTATCTTCCCTCTGCTTGAGATTCCCTACCTTTTGATTGCTCAACTATCAGTTTGCTGCGTAGTGAAAGATTCAAAATGTTTTTTTTTTTTCTTATTTCTTTTCTCTTTTAAAGGTTTCTAATAGGAAATTAAGCATGTTAAATGGAAGATATTGACTTAAAAGTGAAGTATTCTGCCCTAACTACGAGCAGCACCCAATACTTCATGTGACAATTGTGATTACAATTTGAAAGAAAAGGCCTTCACTCATTGTGCAACATGTTTAAGAACTAATAGCAATGTATTATACCTTTCAATGAGTTGTTTGTGCCGGATTGGATCCTAGTTGAGCCTTCTTAACAAGAGAACAAGAGTCCATTATATATCAGGCCTTGAAGGCCGACATATCTGTGTACCAACACATCTGAAATAGCCCAGGTCTTCAAAAATAAAATAAAAATTCAACAAGAGCAGAAGACAGGTTTGGCATGCAAATCGCACCTGCATATAGGATCTTTATTTTTCTTTTATGCCTTTTGAGTAAACATAAATCTATATTTCAATTTTTAGAGTTAATAGGTATTTCATTAAATCCATGATTTTTTTTATAGAATCTTTTGCCTGAAACATTTTTAATTTTCTTAAACTACTTTTTATTTTAAAAAACACAAAAAATTAAAATTAAAATGAATACAACTAGCACATTTGATCAGACGAAATAGGAGCACATTTTTTGGACAACTGGAGTAGGTATTCCTCTACCAAAAAGGAAAAAAAGAATATAGAAGGAAACCAAAACGAAAAAATAAGAAATATGAAAGAAAATAACCAATATTTTAAAACTCAGATTGGACTGGCCGGGTCGTCTCGAGTTTAGGTAACCCGATGAGAGCATCGGTTCGAGCTAGCCATTGAATTAGTCATGCAGTTAAACCAGTTTCGACCGGTTGACTCTGTGACTTGTGGGTCAAATGGAACTCGACGGGTCAAGCTGTTTTCTTCCTTAAATCGGTTTGCTTATGGGAATGAGTAGTGTTACCACTTACCACTAGGCTACCCTCAATTGTTGGTCAAAATGCATCTTATAATATATTTATTATTTAATTTAATATAAATTTAATTAAACCGGCTGAATCAGTGAGTCATCGGTTGAACCAATGATCCAGTGACCCAGTACCTCGACTGTAACGCCCGACCACTTCAAGAATCAATGACCATCCCCACATACTAACACGAGACTTTTCAGTATACTTTTTTCTCACTCGCACACTTCTCGGGAAAACTTCTCAGGAGGTCACCCATCCCAGAATTGCTCCAAGTCAAGTACGCTTAACTGTGGAGTTCTTTCGTTCCAGGCTACCGAATAGCAGATGCATCTTGTTAGCATAGGTAGTACCAATTAATTCTTATAAGCTATCCCAAACTGTGCAGTCATATACCTGCACAGCCTTTGGAATCTCTCTCTTTCGGGTGTCGATTCGATTCATTCATGCATGTAACCCCCCACTGGAAGCTTGTCAAGAGTCACTCCTTGTCCATGCCCTTTCGCACCGGCGACCACTCCCCACCCTCATCAGTGCTCGGGATGTTACATGCCCACCAGCTTCCGCTTGGTTCGTCCTCGAACCACACTGTACTGGAAGAGAGGCCTGCTCTGATACCACTTGTACCGCTCGACCACTTCAAGAATTAATGACTATCCCCACATACTAACACGAGACTTTTCAGTGTACTTTTTCCTCACTCGCACACTTCCCGGGAAAAATTCCCAGGAGGTCACCCATCCCAGAATTGCTCCAAGTCAAGCACGCTTAACTGTGGAGTTCTTCCGTTCCGGGCTACCGAAAAGCATATGTATCTTGTTAGCATAGGTAGTACCAATTAATTCTTATAAGCTATCCCAAATTGTGCAGTCCTATACCTGCACAACCTTTGGAATCTCTCTCTTTCGTGAATCGATTCGATTCATTCATGCATGTAACCCCCCACTGGAAGCCTGTCAAGAGTCGCTCCTTGTCCATGCCCTTTCGCACCGGCGATCACTCCCCGCCCTCATCAGTGCTCGGGATGTTACATCGACCAAGTCGATGATCGAGCCAAGTTTTAAAACATTGAAAATAACTACGACGTTAGGATAATGTAAATGAGTTACTTTTTACACATTTGATAAAAAAATGTACCCAATGCTTGACACTCTTGCAACACTGAAAAATATCTTCCTGAATAGATGGTAGTGTAAATAATGGCAGGCTGGTGGGCTAATACTACTTAGCCTATGAAAGTACAAGGTCAAGTGATGACTTGGCAATTATTTGAGGGTTTATTTCTGGAAAAGTATTTTACCTAGGGATGCTAGGGAGAGGAGGCAAGGGAAATTTCATGATATGGTACAAGGTGATCTGATTGTTGATAAGTACTTGGCCAACTTTAATGAATTGGCTAAGTATGCAAGATATAGAAAAGTAATGCCCATCTTGAGGTGCTAGCTGCTAAGTTCCAAAGGGATCTTAATGAGAAAATTGAGAAAAGAATAGTTGGTATATTGGATCAGGGATTTTGATACACTGGTCAATCAATGTTGTGCAATAGAAGAAGTTTATCTGAAACATAAGAGCAAGAAGACAAAAGAACTTGAATTCAAAAGAGCAAGTGGCTCTACTCCCTCCTGGAGAGATAGGAGGTCTAATGATAGAAACAAAGGAAAAAATCTACAAGTTAGACAATCGTTTAATAAGTTCAAGAGATGTAGTAATCAGAGGACAAATGACAGTGATAAATCTTCTGCACCAAAATGTGATAAATGTGGGAAAGCCCATTGGGGTGATTGCAAGGCTAGAAGTGGTGTATGTTTTAAATGTGCAATCAGGCCACTTCATTAGACAGTATCCCCAAAGTGTGTGGAAAGTTTCTACTATGCAAACAACTTTAGGACCTCCAGTAGGCCGAGTTTATACTTTGGATTTTTAGAATCATAGAAGGCCCTAAATATTATCAAAGGTTTATACTTTTAATCTTTTCTGTAAGTTTCTAATTAATATATTTGGCCTTATTTTTTCTTTTATTTTTTATCCTCGTTCTATTTTCTTTTTCTAAGAAGGATAAAATAGATAGATTAGTTAAATTTCTAACGGTATTAATGATGAGTTTGTCTATTACCCCGACATAGAAATATAATTTTACTATGAATCACTTACCCCAATAATTTTGCAAGAATCACTTACCCCGTCATACTATGAATCCAATAATTTTACTATAAAAATATATATAGAGAAAGTAATTAAAAAAAAGAAATAAGGGGTAAGTGATTCATAGTAAAATTATTGGAGTTTTTTTTTGAACTTTTCCAAAAAAATAAAAAAAATTATGAATCCGTATAACAACAATAAAACCGTATAACAACAATAAAACTAATATTAATTAAGTAAAAAGGTTTAATATTTCTTCGGAGATAAATTATCACCAATGACCGGAGAAACATTAAATCCTTAAGTAAAATATTTTATCATAACAATTATCATCTCATTGGTAACAATATTTTGTAGCTGTTACTAGCAACTCAAACTATTTTTTTTTTTTTTTTGAGATTATCCCCCGGTAATCCCATAGATTCCTATGAACTAAGGTTAATTGAATACATGTTTTCATCCCCACTTACTCAATTCTCATACGCCAACTGAACTATCTTTAGCAACTAAAACTATAATATTAATTAAAACATCAAAATCTATAATTTTGTTCACTAATAAAAAATACGTGTAATTTTCACCTCATAAAAATTCCAATATGAAAACTCAACAGCTAGCAAACAAAAAAGAAGCAAATTATTCATCGTGACAATAACATGTGGGGAACTCTGACTGGGCGGCTTTTCGTAATTGATTCTCCATTTGATCCGATAATTTGCTATTGGTTTCTCTCTACCAAATTTTGTTCCGTGGATGGTATGACGGTTGAAGAAAAGAAAAGAAAATAAAATTCCAAGCATGTATAGGGTCCCTCAAATTAGTACGAAAGTGATTCAGAAGTCGGCAGGTCGAACTTGAACTTCGGCACTTAGAAATCGACTTGTAATCACTAGGTGGGCTAGACATTTAGAGAGTGTTTGGTAGGAGTATTATTTTCAAATGGATGGGAAAGTCACGGTGAGATTTCAAGACTCTCATGTTTGGTAGCAAATATGAGAAATTTTTTTCACTATTATCATTTGCATAGGAATCCATTTTTAGTGTAAAATGAGAACAAAAATCTAACTTAAAAATACCACCAAGATAATGGTATTCGAATTTTCCTAGGGATATGGAAAATTAACGTTGTAATCTTTGACAAAAATAACCCAACTTGAGTATGTCTTGGACCATTCAGTGCTGAAAAAAAGATAGGTAGGAGGCTGAAAAAAGCAAACAATATGCTTTGTATTCAAATCAAAAAATAAAAACGTTAACAAGGTTAGTTTGATAATTTTATTATATTTTCCCATCAATATTTTATCTTCAACCAAATATGGATTCGGAAAATTTAGCCCAATTTTTCCAGTAATATTTTGGTCTATCAAACAACTTTTTTTTAACTTTCCTATCAAACTCACTTTCCCAT